AACGTCGCTTACTCTGAAAGGGGTTTCGAATTTCGCACTCAGATTCCGAGTCATTCCGATAACGCCATTGTTCTTTTTGTTCCATGATCGTTCGTCACTTCGTGAACCGTCCTATATGTATGTTGTTTACGGTCAAACCACAGAGTACGGTAGGAAATAACAAGAAGATGAAGTACATCAAGAATACTTTATTTGGAAAAATGAGTTAGCGTTACGCTAAACAATAAATGCCCATTACTGCCCCGCCTGATTCCTTAGTAAAAGGTAAATGTTCTCCTTTATCCACTGCTTCGTGTGCGGCACGTACGTAGCAGTATCCTCATGAAACTCTAGGCAGCTTAAGTCTGCTAACGCGTCAATAAATTCAAACAGCTGTGAGATATCGTATGTTATAGTAGGAGCAGATGGGTTTTGACGTTTAAGCTGCTCTTCGTAGATCTTGCAAACACCCTCCAGACACTGATTGACCGTTTCATAGTCCGTCCAGGCGCGTGTATCCGGTTTCTTAGCTGCCGATTGTACAAGCAGGATAGTATGTCCCATTTCTTAAGAAAAGTAAACATTAGATAGTTGACTGCCAACGTATAAGACCCGTTAAGTAATGGAAATTGTAGATAAAATTTATTGTCTTTTTAATGTAAAACAAAAATGTAAGAGACTAAATAAAGTGTGGTAAAAAAAACGGTTTTGGAAAGATAAACTATGTGTGTTCAGAGTTTTTCAGTCTACTGCGAAGCGAGTAAATTCACACGCCAGTGTTCGTAGGATGAAAGCCAGGAAGCTGGAACAGTCCACTTTGGTAGACGAGCGACCATTTTTGACAACGCCTCAGATTTTCCGTTTGGAACACGATCGTCACTGAAATGGTTAACTAAGGCCAAATCGACGAAATCTTCACAACCATCTTTGCAAGGCATTGAACTGACAGCAAATTCGAGCCAGAAAACCCATGGTTTTGTCCATTTGCGGGACGGGGATGTGGCCCCCGATGGATCAAAATGGTTGATCAAATAGTGAGCCGAGGGGGTGTAGGCCTCTTGTTCAAAAGGTGAACGACCAGGCATTGGAACCGGTTGAGGATATCCTGCCTCAGGAGCGAAGGACCAACTTACAAGGTGAATACCTTGTGGTTGGAATCTTATCAAAAATTGAGCGTGGGGAGAATACGAATCCACAGAAAGTGTTAGGTTAACATGAGTGAAATTTTCATGTAACTCGGGAGATTTTTTCGTCTCGAGGGTCCTATTGACGATGTGCATCTTGGCTGACACCGACTTGTGGGGTTCAGCAGGCAGATAGAAAAATGTGTTGAAGGCGTGCAGAAGAGGATACAATAACGGCATACCACAATAAGGGTGATCTCTGTGGCAAATAAATGGCCGAGATTCAGACAACTCGGGAAACTCTGTAACGTCGCTAACACCCTGGGCCGTCAGTTTTTGCAGTCTC